TTAAAAAATGTACTAAAAGCAAGCTAACCATTGTTCGAAAAACATTTTTTTCTGATATTTAACTACTTGTCATTTGACATCTGTCAAATTTGACCATTGGTTATTTTAACTACGAATCAAAAAACCGGGCCTAAGTTTCCCATTGTATTTTTTAACACTTAATATTATTATTATGTTTAACTTTCAATAAATTTAAAATATAGATATCTTAAAAAAAAAGATGGAAATCTCATACTTTACCCCCTTTAGTATCTAAATAAAACATCTATTTAAATATTTAAAAATTAAGTTCTTTATAAAGTAAAACAAACTAACATAAATTATATTTTAAAAAAATCATGTATTTTACGTCCTTTTGCGGGAATGGCCTTCCAAATCACGCTAGCCGGATAGCCGGTCGACGTCAGCTCCTGCGCAGGCAAAGCGCCAGTCGCCGCCTGGCAGCCGCGCGCACTGTATGTACCTAATAGACTATGGCTGCAAGCTTTGCAACGATGAAATTTTCAATTTTGAAGACNGTTCACGTAAGTACAGGTTTAGACTAAGAGCTAGTGAACGCCAGACCTATGTCATTTTATAAAAGCTGAAAGTTTGTCAGCGTATGCTCCCAATATAGGATATAATGTTTGTAAATTATGGAGTTTCGGTCTTGGTGGCTTTGGGAGCTACCCTAAAATATTATGATGAGTTAATTAAGGCTTGGTATTTCTGCTAAAGTAGGTATTTCGCGCTGTCAAAATCTGCGCGCGCAATACTTCGCCGAAGACAGCGCGCCAAAGAGCTTTCGCGGCTACACAGTATAGAAATACGCAGTTTAGAAATACGCAGTTGGTTAGGTTAGGTTGACTTCCTTCCGTTCAAGCATCACACTCACAGCACTTTCTAATGCAAATCATATCCAAGTGATACAAATTAAAACAACTTTCAAAATTTTTGGGAATATATTTTAGAATCGAATAAATATAGAATATAACTGCCAAAGTAAACACGGTTCAAAGAGGCGTGGCGTCACCCGACCTTCCGGAAGTTCCGCGCCGGCTAAAAGAATTTCAAGATTACGTCACCCGACCTATCGGTAGATCCTCGGGAACTTGAGCGATTGGAAAAACATTTTATGATCAGTTACTCGTAGTAGCGATTAATTAGAGCTTGGATAATAAATTATAGTTGTTGCAATTCACGAAACTTTGCGAGATGGTTAATTACATTAATCAGTACACGCATCAATTTTGTTCAGTCTTTTTGTTTATTAATAAATAAAAATATCATACTAAAATTGCATACATATTTGTTTGTATTGGTCTGGGTGTTTTCTTTCCATAATTTTTGTATAACGTATGTACGGGGCTCTGTATCGAAAATCACTATGAGCAATGAGCATCACACACGGTTTTTAAATGTTGCAAATTTTTTATAAATGTTGTGCTTTAGAGAGTCCAATGATATTATATAAAAACAAAAGCAGATATGTTATAAGCGCTCGCGCTGTGAATACTCAAATACGTCCCAATTGGGACGTCTTGTGTTTAGTCTTCGTGTGGCCTGCGTCGTGCGCAATCGCGTGTACCACACCGTAAGTTCCTGTGTTCTTACCAAAATAAATAAAAAATGCCATCGTGTGTGTTTCGAAAGTGTACCAATTATGACTCTAAAGTAAACAAAATACAAGGGATCTCTTACCACATGTGATTATGCAAAATTATTTAGTATTTATATTTTCAATTATTTATGCAAACAATCAAGACGCCATGCGCCATGTTCAAGTTAAGAAAGAGAAAGCGATCTTGTTTTGACGTTAGAGCGATAAGGATGCGTGCGCTGCGGGCATAGATTAGTTAGTGCAGAATCGTTAAAACTATAGCTATCTCTTTCATTTGCGTGCTATTTCGTATCTTTTGTTCACTTATCAGTTACATTTGAGGGGTGCCAAACCATAACGTTTTAAGTGCCACACGTACTGAAATACGTTTTATTGCGGTAAAACGTTGTATGTGCCGGGCGTTTACTTGCAGTTATGAGTTGACGGGTATCTAACGCCATCTAGCTTAAAATTTGTAAAATAGCATGCCATAACGTTTTAAGTGCCAAATAAGCTGCATAAGTCAGTTTATTCAAAATGTCAAAACAAGATGACGCGTCTACGTCGCGAAAAAAAGGTGTTAATATAAATACATGGAAAAAAACAATAAGAAAGCATTCTAGAAACAAGGGTTTATCGTATGTTAATACAAAAAATAAAGAAGTGAGAAGAGTTGGTCAATATGGGACTTCATTTGGAGGACGAAGGAAAGGGGATCATGTCTTTGGAATGAAACTGTTGGGCAAAGGGTTTCAACGAAATCGCTTCCTGTCTTTACAAGTTTTTCACTTATAATGAAATAGGCTACACTACGCATAAAAAGAAATTAATTTTGTGGTCAGATAACTTTGGTGGACAAAACAAGAACCAAGCTGTACTTGCTATGTTCCTCGTTTTAATTGCCAAAGGAAATTACTCATAAATTTCCTGTAAAAGGTCACACTTTTGATCGTGANCTGTAATATCCTTTAACATAAAATCACAATTTTCAAAATTAACCCTTACAAAAACCCAATGACATCAAATTTTGGGGGTGCGATTGTCTTTCAATCTTCGAATCGGTAGGTAACCCCAAAATCCTGGGGGGTAAGGGGTGTCTTAGGACTCATGAAGGGGGGGATCGCCCGGGTGCCAACTCATGCTACGCCGCCACTGGACCCCGAACAAACTCGTCGTTTCAGCCAAATGACGTCCACTGCTGGAATAAGACCTCCCCCAAGGTTTTCCACAATGAACGGTCCTGCGCTGCCCGCATCCTTCCCGCGACCTTTACCAGATCGTCGGTACACCTAGTAGGAGGCCTGCCCACGCGACGTCTTCCAGCCCGTGGTCGCCACTCAAGAACTTTCCTGCCCCCAGCGGCCATCGTCTCACTGCCACTTGATTTTAGCAATTCTACGAGCTATGTCGGTTACTTTGGTTCTCCTGCGGATCTCCTCATTTCTGTCACGCAGGGAAACTCCGAGCATAGCCCGCTCCATCGCCCTTTGGGTGACCTTGAGCCTTCTTATGAAGCCTATAGTAAGCGACCACGTCTCAGATCCGTATACCATCACTGGCAACATACATTGGTCGAATACTTTTTTACAAATTACCAAATGACACCAAAGGCACAAAATCATTTCTATCGTTAAAAATAAAGGTTAAACTTTATTTCATGAACCAATCCTCGGAGTTAAATTACATCTGTTAAAATGATAATTTAATAATACTAATAATGGTTGAAGCAAATAAAATAAAAATAATAAAAAATGTGACTTAAGTACCATAACATTACCATAGAAANTTAATCAACGAATATGACAATTCTAGGCGTGCCTCTACATGTTGTCAAGTAAATATTTATGAAGTAAGTGTTTACCTGAAGACAGAGAACAGTGGCTAAATGAAAAAAGGAAGGTGATTTTTGGTTCTACTCGGTATAGGGTTAGGTTCAAAAGTAGGTAGACTTTAAGTGGCTGATGAAATTCAACAGATGCAGAACAATTTAGGGTTAATAAAAATATAAGCGTTGAAGGGGTGACAGTTTGTATGGTGTAATCATAATTTCTAGGCCCGGGGATGTGAAGGTAGAGTCTGGGTCCGTCTACCTCGGACAATAACTCGCAGTTCTGTCCCAAAGACTTTGGGAGGACACTGTCAGGTTTTAGTGAGTAGGCCCTGCCCATCTCATTAATATGAGGTCATTTATGTGTGTATAAAACTAAATAGGCGGCCAAGGGCCACCCCGCCGCACCTTAACCTATTTTTCACTTTAAATCAAAACATTATGTTATTGGCCTCATAGAAAAGTAATATTACTTATGCAAGAAACATTCCAAACTCATTATGCAAAATTATATTAATTTATGATATTAAAACGTTCAAAAATTTGGCTGTACATGAGCACGTACACAAGATGTTGTTCTCTTTTATGAAATGTGTTAGTACTAAGGTTGAATTATTAAATAATGACTGTTAAATGTGAATAATTTATCACTTTTACCGCGACTGTCGGTAATTATTCATAATAACCGGTTATTATTAATAATTTTCAATTTATCACATTAACCGTAACATATACCTACATCCGTAATATCGTTTAACATAATCACAATTTTCAAAATGTNTCTTGTTGCGTAGTAATTTGTCCACGAATAGCAAAATTTGTTCGTGTTCCGGTTCTCAAGTTATTTAGAATTTTGCTGGGGTAATGTTTTGTGATGTCCCAGATCTCGTAAATGGCTCAACGCAGAAATTTGATTTGAATGATTACAGATAACAATGAGAGGATGACATTGCAAGGTGGTGCCAGTCCAGTCTTAAATCCGTTGATATATGCTGCATCTGCCATGTTTTTGGCTAAAAGATTCTTCTATCTTGCAGCTTAGACCTTTAGCTACAGACCTTAGACAGTATTTTTGAAACATTCTTACGCATGGTGGAGGAAGGGACGCTCTAGACACTCAAGTCTACAAGGAGTCACATCNTTAAACTTTATTTCATGAACCAATCCTCGGAGTTAAATTACATCTGTTAAAATGATAATTTAATAATACTAATAATGGTTGAAGCAAATAAAATAAAAATAATAAAAAATGTGACTTAAGTACCATAACATTACCATAGAAACTAGAATACGATACGTAATTGGACCCGTTTACGAATAATAAAATAAAAATAAATAAATAAAATCTTTATTTAATCAATAACTACTGTTTTCTTAGTGTAACATTTAATATTTGAGTGACTGCTGTTGTACGCGTCTGCTTAGTGCAAAAATATTAAAATGTAAACCATTAAAATTGTAAAAACTATAAAAAATCTATAGTTTTAAGGTTAATTTTGTATTTCTCTTGTTAGTGAATGTAATTCTTTTAGCGAAATAAATGTCTTAAACCATTCATTAATTCGTTCTAATTCCAAACCTTGTGTTTTTCAGACGGCGCCCGAGTCATCAGAGCCTCCGTCGGCCTCGGCGAGCGGTAGCAGTTCGTAAGCGGGTCCATAAGGCCCTTACTATTCTTACTATACAGTGTGATAGACACAGTGCTATGTGCTAACGCTACATTGGAAATTACACCACCATACCCCAAATGGGACAAAACGGAAAATCGTGTGAGACAGTGCATTTTTAGTTTTGTTCAGCCCACAGAAAGAGCCGTTCAATTTTGTTGCGTTATTAAATAATTACCATATTTTAAATAGATATCTTTAGTTTTGTAATTTTTATAGCTACTTTTTCTATGAGATAATATCCATAGAACTTGTTAATTTATTTTACAAAGGAGGAAATTCAGAAATCTGGATTTGAGATAACTTTTAAGAATCCTTTTTAGTGTTTTTTTGTGTTACAATGTTATGTTACCAATGATGTAATGATGGTGATGTTCATTTCAAATATGGAGAAGATTGTTTGTGTTTCTAAAAGGACTTAAGTGAAGCAAATGTTTTACTATGTGTGTCTTACATATACCTACCTACATATAATTTACTTTCTTTGAATAATTGTAGGCGAAAAATTCATCAATGAAAAAACAAAACAAGAAAATAATACCAATATTAAAGCTGGGTTGTACCGTCTTACTCTAACAAACATCAGAAATCTACCAAACTCTACAGGTGTTAGGTAAATGGGTATATGAGCCGACACTAGCCCATGTTAACATGGTCATATAAATGGTATGGTGAAGTCAGAAAATTGATATCTTCATTTTAATTATTTTAATTTTCATACAAATCGGATTTTATAAAATTTATTTTGTATGAAAATTAAAAATAAATAAATCATGATATAAAATTTCTGACTTCACCATACCATTTACACGGTAATAATATCATACAGTATTGTAAATTCATATAAACAGACGAAACGAGAACTTTCTTTCGAAATTCAAATCTCGGTATGCGCTCGGTATGCAAAAGTCGGGGGTGTCGCGAATGTGCCGAATGGACGTCGGTGGCCAAGTGTTAAAAATGACAAAACTGATTGAATTTGAGTGACCGTTATTTAGGGTCAAATTGTTCAAAAACTAGTCAATTTGTCATTTTCAGTCAGTTTGATTTGAAATAAAAATTATATTTTATTAAACCAGCTTTTGCCCACGACTTCGCTCGCCCGAAATTAACGTAACAGATCATTATGATTATTAAAGTTTCAAAATTGTTTACGTAGTTTTAAATAAATTAAATCCACTAATCACAAAACAACACACATTTTTAACCTATTCCATTCACAGAGTATTTTGTTTGTCTAACTAAATAAAAAAGTACAATCACAAAACTAGATAGAAATTGTAAGTAGGCAGATGTAATTAAACTGGGTACTGTAGGTGGGCAGCCCTATCGCATGTTGTAATACTGTGACGTACCGCGCGACTGTTGACATTTATTTCAAAAATATGGCAGAGTTGGAATACTGTATAGATAGTATTACCGTGCCATTTATATGCCTATGTTAACATGGGCTAGTGTCGGCTCATATACCCATTTACCTAACACCCTGTATACAGAAAGAACCGGTTGTCGTTAAAGTTACGGTTATAAGTAGCTACCTACGAGGACTACAACTCAGCCTAAACCCTTTTCAAAATCTAATCTTTAATTACTGCCGAGCCTAAGCTTACCGCGTTCTTAATGGCTAAGCAGATACATAATTCAAGGTCCCATTATTTGTATTGTATTGCTGTTGGTTTTCCGAATAAAGTAAAATAAATAAATAAATTAAAATGATTTCCAAAGCTTGCTATCAAAATAATGAACACTTGTTTTTTTATTTTATTTTTATTACCCCTCTTGGTCGCAGATTAGGCCAGTAGAATTAGATTTTAAATTGGAAATAATTAAATATAAATAAATAAACAAATGTCCTTCGACATTTCACACTGCGCCTCTAGTCCCAAACTAAGCAAAGCTTGTACTGGTACTAGACGATGGGATAAACAATAAACATATTCCTACAATAGATTTTGTTGCTTTAATGACTTCATTGGTTGAAATGCCCATTAAGACTCTCCTAGGTTTTCAACTTCGACGGGGTTGGGATTAAGTGGCGGGGCCCCCCGAAATGGGCGTTTTTTCGGGTTTCCGAATCGAAAAGTGGTATTCATAACGGTTGAACAAGGGCACTTAATCCTGAGCATTTCAAGATAATGCAATACGTCCATTAACATAACTCAATACTTTCCAAACAAATAAATCAGCGGTAAATTCTAGGTACTCAATAATGACTTACAGCAACGCTACTTTGTAAGCGCTCTGTAATTTTCGCATTGGGATCGTCGCGCTTTTGAGATTTTCGTTTTGGTAAAAACCAAAAATAGCCGAATAATAATGTATAGTAGCGAGCATCGATCGGCTGACGCAGGGCTGGCTGTGATAGTAGCTTTGATTTTCTTAGTCCGTAAACATCTTTCCTAAAATTGTTTTTAGCCAAAACAATCTTTTCAATTTTAATAATAATTCATATTTTTGACACCACAAGAGCCAACTACATAGAAGGCTTGCAAAAAAAACTTTTTGTAGTTATAAATAAAAAAGTATTTTATTAATTTAATGATTTGATACTTTATTGAACATCGCTAAATCAATATCCAAGCATTTTAATTTGCGGTCCGATTAAAAAATATTGATATTGATTTATGTATAGTGATTTTAGTGATGTCCCTATTCGCACAAAATTTCGCCCGGGGACATCGCACGTTTCGCCGCGCGCCGCAACAAAGTAGTACTTCTTTAGCGATTGGGTTTTCGCTAACGCTACCGATCGTTCCGCGATACATTATCCGTCACGATTTAAAATAATTTCTGGTATACGTAATTTTGTACCTAATTAGTTTTGGGCCTGTTATTTTTCTTAATAATTCTTATCAGGCTTTGTAAATATTTTCAGTAACAATTTGGTGTTGTTTTCATTGTAAGTATCAGATTGATTATAATACCTTACGTTTTGTATAATAATTATAATTTCCGATCCTTTTTCTACTAACTTCTTCTTTTTCTATTTTACACCGCACCCTTTAACAAGAAGTAAATTAAACCTTTCATTGATATCGTATTAGGTACTTTGTCTACAGTAGGTAGGTATATGAGACAATATTTTTTTCTTTATTCAGAAAACCATTGTTTATTTAAAACTGAAATGTTCTAACCAAACTGGAAAAAAATTCTTACGGAGACTACAAATCCCAACTGGAACCAAAGGAATTCCAACACAAGAGTGTCTAACACCATGGAGACCTTATTGAAGCTCGATTCAATTCAATAGTCGGCATATTGTTATTTTTGCTATTAATTTCTTAATTAAGTATTTGCTTGACTATGCTCTCATACCCTCAATATTCTGCTCAATACCTGCGCAACTACTACTAGCGCAACGGATTATGTTTAGGTACGAGCAAAAATAAATTCACTGTAACCCTAACCAGCCTCCAATAATGTTCCTTTTAAGGAACATAATAAATAATAATTATATTTTTAATACACTCAAAAGGCATTTAAAAACTGAAACGTAGACTTTGCAATAATCAGATCATCTGCACCTTATATTGTGCGTCATCGCGTCAGAATTTGGGCGCGGGCGATCCGCGCGCTGAACGAAAGTGAATTATAACGTTACTAGCTGACCCGGCGAACTTCGTACCGCCTTAGCGTAGAGATTTTCTTAATATTTTTTTCCGTAAGAACCATCCTTGGACTTCCACAAACATTTAAAAAAAAGAATTATCGAAATCGGTTCAGCCGTTCACACGTGATGCCGTGACAACGCGAAACTGGTTTCATTTTTATATATATAGATTACTCGGACATTGTTGAAATACCTGCTATCGGTATGATCGGCAAATTAGCACTTCATTTTAGACTCGAGCACCGGTTTCTGGGCCCAGGCTGGGGCCTGCAGGCGCCCAGAGATTGCCTGGGCTTATTTAATTTTATTTTATGCAACCATGTATTTGAATTGACTGACAAAAATACAAGAGGGGCAGATCAATCAGAATTCAAGTCGTAAATTACTAACAAATCCATTGAAGTAGAGTTATTTTAAGTCGTGGTACAGATTTACAACTAAAGCAAATAATAGTTGTGGATAATAATAATGTGGTTTTCAGTTTCATTAAGACATTTAGTGTCCTTGTAATGTACATGATTGTTCTAAAATTAATGAAATCCAGCTCAGTGTGTGCGTCTATTTCAATCAATATCAATTTTATTATGAACTACCTAGTACTAGAAACCGGACTTGGCTAACGCAATTTTACTCCTTGTTTCGTTATTGCTCCTTAGTAAAAGTTGTCGTGTATTATAAATTCATAATCTGAACTATATCAATGACAGCTCTATTTAACTTGAATTACTACCCCCCGGCATGTTTAACATCTATGTACTTATTTATATTCATCAACATATCAATATATTCCATTACCTACTGGATTAATGCCTCTTCCTTCCAATGCTCTTCATCGAGTCTCATCCTCAGCTATTTCTGTCACAAACCATTATCTGAAGCTTTGTTATATCGTATTCTTTAAAACTTCATATGCAGTGGCTTTACATACCTATTGGCGACTATATTATTAACTTTGTGACCTAGTCTTAAGGCCGTAAAGTAACCAGCAAAACAAATTTTGGTTAACATCGCCAAAACATGCATTTTCAAATTTCCGTGCCCAACTGAAATGTTGAACAAACCTACATGGTTAATGTATCCATAATGATTAGGTGTTTGGAAAACATTAAACATGCTGCTGGCTTCCAGGTTAACTGCCACGTTATCTAACGCTATCTGCAGTATACGTTAACTATTATATGAACCGTTAGAATGGGGTGGGCACTTAGTACCGCGGGCGGGGCCAGCCGACTCGCCCCCACTTCTCTTGCTAAACTACATCTATTACCCGTTTATAACCTATGTAATATGTACTGGACGTAAATACAATCCACTATGTACTGGTTAGTGTTGAAGTTTGTTTGCCAAAATATTTCGGATGCTTTAGATGACGAAGATTTTAAAATGAATTTATTTAGGATCTGAACACAACCATGTTGTTCAATAATATCCGACTCGAAGGACT